CTGAAACAACGTACAAAGCCTGTGTTATTGCAAAGATACGGTTAGTTAATAAATATATTAGTCATGTACTAACCATCGAGTGAAAAAATAATAGGACACAGTAATAGAACTACTAATATAACATATTCACGCATTTTTATCCCAATTCATGAATGCTTTTCGGAACAGGCACGATGTCTTTTAAAATACTAACTATCGCGATTGAATTAATTTTTTAATGCTTGTATTTAAAAACGAAATTACTTGAAGCTATTAAATTTAAATTGAGTAGCTGTAATCACCAGATATATTTGCGGTAAATTATGATTTATCGTAATATTTTACCGTGGCCGTATTAATAGCGAATAATAAAAAGTAAGAGAAAGTTTTAATAAGTTAGGTATATGAATGAGTTCCTGAATTGGAACTAGAATCATAATAAATTGGCAACAAGTTGGCATGGTTCATCACTGTCCATATTGCTATTTTAGGTTTCATTAGGTGTATATTGTCTTATGACTAATGACAATTGCGTTATTTAAGACTTACTGAATTGATAAGTGCCAGTCACATTCGCGCACCGAAGGTGCCTGGCAAACTTATGTTTAGTAAAGATATTTCATCGAAATCGTAAATCGATTATCAAAGTTTTTTTAAAGACAAATTTAACTTTGTCGTTATCAAAATCACATATCTACAGCTGATGCTTTTTATGTTGTAAGCACCCACTATCGACATATACTTACTTATATGTATCAAAGATCGACAAAAAAATAACTCTTAGCCTTTTTTTGTACAGTGAAACCTAAGCTAGGTCTCACTATAAACATATCATCATTATTTTTTGAGTAATAGACAATACGGAAAAAACGTAAATCTAAAGAAAACAAATATAAAAATTTAATAGCAAATGTATCAACAAATATATAAGTTGAAATTAATCAAGCTTCAAGAATTACTTTATTAGTTTATTTTATTTTATACTAGCTATTGCCCGCGGCTCCGCCCGCCTAAATGTCGGTTATAGCGGTAAAAGGTAGCATGTCTTTCCTAGAGAATCAAAGTACATCCATACCAAATTTCATGTAAATCGGTTCAGTGGTTATTGATTCCCCATACAAACTTCCACCCTCCTTTCACCACCTTAAAGGATGATTTCTTGGATAAAAACTACCCTATGTCCTTTCTCGGGACTTGGACTATCTCTATATCAAACACCTAAATCGGTATCGGTATCTTTAGGTAATAGACAAACAGACATATAGACAAAAAGACCGACAGACGGATACACTTTCGCAATTATAATATTAGCATGGATATGGATTATTCAATGCATGGGTGTCATTAAAAATAAATAATTTGTATTATGTTAAATACCGTTGCAAAAAAGAATTGAAAAGAAAAAAGAAAAAAAACATGTCAAACTTTATGAAACGTTATAAACAAATGGGATTAAAAACAGAATGTTTACTAATTATATATTATTTAATTTTCAACCCTATTTATTAAATGTATCTTACACAAAACTGTTAAAATTTTATTAATTATAATTTTATGTTTTTAACTACCGATGTATTTTTTACGCATTTTTAAATCGTAAAATAGGGTAATACATCCATTATTAAAAGAAAAACAAAATCATACATAACTAACGACCTTCTGAAATATTTTATGGGCACATGTGTTAATTTATCAGAACATATAATTTCCTTTTCAATTATGTGATTCCAATTAGCAAAAAGGTTTTCGCGTAGCTATATTTTTCTAATAAAAACTCGAAAATACATATCTAAAAGATACAACAGCAATGGCAAGACACGTTTTACTATTTTATTTTAAAATTTTATTAATCCGCTTTATTGTTAAAGTATATGCCGAGAACGATACTAGTAAGTTATGAAATTTTCGTATCAATATACAATAAGTAAATCATTGCCACTTCTGAAAGATTGAAGTTTTTAAGTATTCATTTATTACCATATAATAATATGAGTGATACTTTGTTATTATATGTACTGAAAACAAGTAAATCCCTCTTAAAAAAAGATGATGCGACTTCAAACAATACTAAGAAAGAGCACTAAAAATGTAGCGGCTGTAATTTTTTGAAGAGTTTCGTTATCTGTCTACGAAACTCATCATCAGATCTATTTGAAATTTAAATGGAACCATTTCGGAATAAACCCCTTTCGAACAAAAGAATTTTGAAAATTCAGAGAGAGAAATGACAGAGTTATGTCCGAACATACTCGTACATAAAAAAAATATAAATTGATAACCTCCTCCTTTTTAAAGTCGGTTAAAAAGGAGAATAGGTTTTGATTTGGTTGTTGAATAGGTGATACTAAACTTAAATAAAGTAGAATCTTAAAATGATACATTTAATATTAGAAATGCATCGTTTTTTTTTTAATCAGGAGCATAAGTTAAAGCTTTTATTAAAAGCAGCTGACATTTCAAATTCTCGTTCTTGTAGATTTTAAAAAATCTATTTATATTATTGTTTATTTTAAGTAATCATTACCGCAGTGTCTGTTAGTTTAAGCATTTATTAACCCAAAGTTCCGATCCTTCTTAAAAAAGATTAATATAGGAATACGTTACGGTGCTAAAAGTTTTACCTTTACCTAAAAACAACAAAATAGCAATAATTAAAATAGTAGGCTTATCAAAATTAAACAGTATTTTTTTTCAATCAATACAATTTACTGAATTGCTTTCAAAAAACCCTTTACAAAAAAAAACTACAAAATGCCAAAGACAAGCACTTGCGTCTCCTGGTCGGATGATCAGTAAAATTTCATCTATCTTAAGGATTTATTATCTATTTATTTTATTTGTACCTACTGATCATAGTTTATGCTCACCCCTCAGGCTATATTTGGAATATTTGCTCATTCTTTGAAATCTGCTGCGGTTAGGTGCAAGAGCAATCAATCCATTACATTGGTTACATCTTATGAATTGTCCTTAGCACTGTGAGTAACAAAGCTATATCTGCATCGGTTGTGTTGCGATGATAATCCTGAATTTTACTTTCAGTATCCGTGGACATTCCAGATGATCCTGGAGTTGGTATGTACAAGTACTTTAATTTTCACCTATTTTCCCATATTTATTTCGATAGTACTGGAACAAAACATACACATGCAGCACACGAAATGTTAGCCATAAATGTGAAAGGTTTGGTTAATTTGGGATTCTTATGATGTTTACCATAGGCTATGGTAATCTGTAAATACCAGGAATGTAAAATATCAGTACAGAAACTCTTGGTTTTAAAGTAAGTGAAAGGTGACAAGTACGATCTCATACAATGTCATCTCCTTCGCAAGCATAAACTGCTCGCAGAAGGAGACGGCGGAGTTCCACGCACTCTCGCTTTGTACCATAGCCGCAATCATGTAACCGACCCGATGGCCGCCACAAGGTCAAGCCACTGCTCCACCCACGCCGGGCATTCTGCTAGAGTGTGGAGCGCCGTGTCCACGGTCCGGCAATCGCAGTGGCGGCACCGAGGCGTTGGCTCCTTGCGGATCAAACACAGGTGATCCCCGAAGCTTTCTTTTCCAGTGATCACCTGCGTCAACCGGTGTGAGAGGGTCCCATGATGCCTCTCGAGCCTCATCCTTATCCTCCATAACGGGTCTTACCGCCGCGATAACGGCGTGCCCACCGCTCGGTTGACTGGCGGAGCTGGGATTTCTGATTCTCGATTTCTCGAGACTCAGGACTTCGTCCCAGCTCCCGCGCCTCCTTGCGAAACCGATACAGAGCCGCAAGGGCTCTTGCCTCCAGGTCCCATGGTGGAGTTCCGGCTAGGAGACTCGCCGCCTCAAAGCGGATTGTGCGGTACCTCCTTATGACCCTGATGGCCAGTACTCGTTGCGGTCGTCGCAGTAGTACGACGTTGCTAGCCTTCAGGGCTTCCGCCCATACTGGAGCCCCATAAAGGGCTAAGGACCGCACAACCCCCGAGTAGAGTCTCCTGCAGGGGTCATTGGGTCCCCTCATGTTGGGTAGCAGCCGCGCGAATGCACGCGCTGCTGCAACCAACTTGGGGACCAGACCTTGGTAATGATGTTCGAAGTCCCATCGGCCATCAAGTACTAGCCCCAGATACTTCATCGAGGGCTTGATGCCGATCCGAGTGCCTCCTACTATGAAGCTGAATTCCTCAGGTGGCCCCCTCCGAGGCTCACGAAAGAACAAGGCCTCAGATTTGTGCAGAGCCACCTCAAGACCCAGCCGCCGGATCCGCTCCACGACTTGAGCAACCCCGGCCGTGGCCCTCAGGGTTGCCTCGTGGTGCGTCTTGTCGCGCGCCGTCACGAGTGTGTCGTCCGCGTAGCAAGTAACGGTGACACACTCAGTCAACAACATCACTTCGCTCCGGGAAACTGATTCCTCCGCCAGAGCCCTCACGCGCATGATCGCATCCACGCTGTCCGCCAGATCCACCCACTGCGATGATCCCCCACTATGATGAGATGCTTGACGAGGCGCCATGCAATCACCCGTTCAAAGAGTTTGCATACCTCGTCAAGCAACACTATGGGCCGGTAGGCGGACGGTGAGTCTGGACACCATTCTGGACACCTTAGTAGATTCATTACAACCTTAAACTTTTGTAAGTTTATGTATGTATGTAACTAGGTAAGCATTTATGGATTGTATGTATGTATATTTATCTGATTGTTTCTGTCTAATTTATCAATAATTTTCGCTTACTTTACACATCAATTTGTAGTGCACCTAGTCACAGATTACCGCATCACCCTAAGGTAGACCGGTAAAAAGTGCCTGTGGCATCAATTCCGCCATTGTTCAACTCATATTTGTCCATAAAGATTAAAAAAAGCCCTCAGTTTATCTGAAGTATTTTTACGTGAACAAAATAGGTTGTTACATTATGTATTTTACTTTCAGACTTACCCGACATAAATAATACAAACATTCTACGATATGGTCATCAGTTGACCCATGATTGTCAAATTTTGTATAAAACTTATATCTGCGTTATGAAATGTTTAGAACTTAGTTCTGATATAGCCAAATCAGATAAAAATTGTCACTGTACGTGTTTTAAGGATCCCATAAAAAAAAAGTATTTTAAAAATATAACAAAAAATTGGGTGGTGCCTACCACGTCATTGCCTCCGTGGGCCATAAACCAACTAAAATTAAGCACGACTGGCAATGATGAAGATTATGAACATGGTTCATTGATGCATGCAAAAGAAAACACAACAAACAGTGGTGAAGAAGCAAACAGCAGTAACGAATCGAAAGACTCTAAGGAGAGCTTACAAGGTTCTCAAGAAAATAACACTAGTACTGAAAATAAATCTAGTGGAGAAGGAGGATCTAGTGTAGAAACTTCCAGTACAGAAGATAGCAGCACTGGCGCCGAAGGTGTCATCGCACAAGACGGTGAAATAGTCGATAAGGGCGGCGCCGGTGTAACAACAACTGAGGAAAACGAAAAAGAATAAGTGAGGCGATAATAAAACCAATCACGCTATGTCAAGTATTTGAAATAAAATTATTTTCACTGCTGAAAGGTACTACTTTTCTTGTTTTCTGCCGCACGTTTACTATACTTTAATAGGAGGATATTGACTGCGTTTAAACAAAAACAACATTTCAATCCCAATAAATAACACCAAGCTCGTGTCTGCTCGAAATTTCTAGCACTAACTAGAGTGCATGATAAGTTTTTTTTAAGCTATAGGAGGGCAAACGACAGATCTGATAAAAAGTAACTAGAGATGTAGGTGTCCATGGACAGCGCATGGACACCTACATCTCAAGATACGCAAGCGCTTTGCTGCTCTTTGAATTCTCCCCTCAGAATCTGGGAGATGAGGGAACGAAAGAATTGCTCAACACTTGTTTTTTGTGAGGTCGTGGTATCAGTTTGGTCAAGCTATCCTATTTTTGCCGAAACATGGCTCTCCCAAGTCTAAGTGACGAAGTGACTAGTACTAAATGCTTGCGGATCATTTATTCCTTAAATATCTAAGGATTATTTAAAAAAAATATTGTTATTCGTGATTATCCAAGGTTTGTACATTCTACTTTAAGGGTAACTATTGATCTAACGAGACTACATTCCTGGTTTTCGTGAATCGTTACATGATCTAATGAATTTTACAAATAGTTAGATTCGCTAGGGAGTGCGCTCCCGCTGTTTTATAAACAAGTCACACTCAAAGTCAAGCTTGTAAATCTTTGGAATCCGCTTTTAATAAATCACGGTCGATACCAGGTATATTATTATATTGTAAAAACATTTATTTTTGCTAAGGTTAGTTGCGCAGGTAACCCGCTTGCGTGGGTATAGACAGCTACTTGCACCGTGTACAAGGACCCAGGTACTGAACTGTGTCAAATCTGAAACGAACAAGATGCATACATGTAACCTGGGCGAGCAACATGCACATTATATCAACCAAACCTGCAAGTAACTCGTGCATGCTACTGACGCAAATAACCTGCGTCTTTGCCCATACCAGCTACTTGCACCGTGTAGAAACACCCTTAGGATCCGTAATCAGTTATTGTCAGTTAGTGCTATAGACCGATTACAGTAATTATATTTGTAAATATTAAGACACGATAAGCAAATATTACCTAATAACAGCTCACCAGATAGGCTGTTTACGTATTCTTGAGCGTTAACCTCTTTATTTTTCTTACAAATATACACAAAGAACACCCAGACTCAGAACGACAATTTGTAGATCACACAGTGTCGTTCGATGTAGAGATCGAACTCACAACACTCTTATCACTATTGTATCTGTGTATCAAGGAAAAACACATAAATATTATTTTGAATTGAATATTCACGAAGTGATACTGATAATTATCAATATATTTCAGTAACGACCGCATTAGGGAAATATCTTCCGGTTTCTTATCGAATATTGATGTTAATACCATCCAACTGTGTATGCATGTTTATGAACACTACTGAATTTATTTCTGTTTTAGGCAGCACGGTTTTCTTTTAAATTATTTCCAAAGTAATTATAAATATGTCAAGAAATCGTTTAAGTATACTAGAAGCAATGAACTCATTATTTTACTCTTCTTTTTAAATTTTGAATTAATTTTAAATGTAGACGGATTTTTAAATTAAAATCAAACGATTTGGATGTCCTCGTATAATATTTTTTTAAGCTGCACTTTACAATCATAAAAATAGAAACAGCTCAGATCATTAAATGTAGGTATTTGGAAGAAGCGATCATCTTGTTACAGATACCTGTATTTGATGATCTGAACATAATTATGAATACCTAAGAAACAGTATTATAAAGTTCGTTTTCCGGTAGTTAAACGCAAACTTATGTGTTTATAGAAAGTTTTCGCTAATACTCAGGGGTAACCACCGAACTTTTTATGCAATATCCCAAGAGGCAATACTCTATAGTGACGGCTATGACGTATCACTGAGATTTTTTACAAATACAATGTAAACATATTTTTGCTTTTATATCAATATATCAATTTCTCTTATCCGGTTTGACGTTTTGTAAAAAAACACGTTTTACTTAAAGACACTTTCGTGACAAGGGTACGAGTGCTTTGAGAAGTAATATTCTGTACATGTAAGTTTGTATTTATGTTTACTTGTTTGTAGAATATATTTAATAGTTGTTGTCAGTTTTATGTTTGTTGAATATATCCTACGTGGTGTAATAACTTGCACATACTCGTATTTATGGCAAGGACTATTTGTATACGCGCGTCATGGAACTCCTTCGCCGCATCGCCTACTGGTAGTGTTCCCAGAACACCCCCAGCACTGCCATATTAAATATCAATGCTAACCTTCTAATAGATAAAAATGATAACTTAATAATAATAAATTTAGAAGTATTTCATATAACCATTTAGACAAAAACCTTAAGGTAAACAAATTAGTAATATGTACATAGTTTATATCACTACAAATTATTCAAGTCTCTGTTTTGGAACACATCTTAATAAAATATTAAACACGACTGTAGAAAGGAAAACTAATAAACCTTGCTATTTATTCTACGGTTAAGGCAAGCAGTAATAAGAATAATAAATTTGTTTCTCCGGATATAACATAAGACTCCTTGTAATGTAAACAATTTAATATTAAAATGATTAACTGAAAACAGCAGAAAGTTTACATAGTTTTTATTCTTGGCTATTCCCAAATTACTGTTAATCAGGTTATGTATTGCAACGATCAATTATTTTAGCCGTATTTTTCAATAAAATTGTTTATCAAACGAAAGAAGTAAGACATATGTAGGCCGGTATTCGAGTGATACCAGCAATAAAATCAGGGATGAGTTTTCTGTAACATCTTTTAATATTGATCATTTCTCAACAGGGGTTGGACCAGTTTGACTTAAGCCTTACAGTAACACTTCTTTACCTACTTTGCTTACATTTATAGATGGTCGTAATGGATTCATAAGATAAAAATAAAATATAAATGGAAATCATTATTCAAGGTCTCTAGAAAAAGCTCAACAAATCTCATTGTCCTTTGCAAAGACACAGCTTAGATATGATAGCCATAGTTATATTGGTTTGAGTATAATGAATTAACCGGGACGAAGAATTCATAACGAAATTAAATGAGACATCTTGACACATATGTTTGGTACAATACAAATATTTAAAGATTTAATTACTTGTAATAAAACGCTTTTGAGATCTCTTTTACTAGTCCACACACAATCGAGGGCGATATAAGAGAGAAAAACGAACAATAAATCCAGCTACATAAAAATTGCAACAACTTTGTTCATAATGCCAATGGAGGCATCATCAAAAGTTGGTTCGCTTCGCACCCTCGCGCCCATTCGTGCAGAGATTACCAATAAATCCAATACGGGATAATTGGCCGGCTTAATTCTGTTCTATCTTTCTACTTAGTTCAGTCGTCAGAATGTGCCAGCTCAGGTCCCTTGGGAGAGTCCAGTCGTGAGCACAAACATCCGCAAGTTGCTGAACAAAAATAGAATCTTATGTACTTTCATAGGAACTAATTTTATTTGCCAAATTGCAAACAAAGCAGAATCAAAGCTAAATTAACGAAGTAGTACAATTGATGAAGCATTTTCAGTTTTCTCTATGACTTATTATTTAATTTATTACCAGAGCTTTTCTGGTTTAATTCTATATGAAATATTTAGAATTTCAGCATAAATGACACGTGATGGACATAGGTATCGCTTTTCTTGTAGCTTAATGGATGAGAATTATAGAGTCAAGGGGTGGTAACGATTTGATATTCGCATCAGCCGTTGGCCCTGGGGACTACTGCGATGTGATTGAATAGCGATTTCCGACGATCGACGTTCGATATATGGAAAATGCACCCGGCTAAATCGATCATATGATTTTAAATATTGTTAAGATTATTTTAGTACACACACTGCAAGGTACAGTCTCGGTTATTCTATTAGTTATATGATTATTCGTTGTCACTTTTTGTAGTAGAAGCACAATGTACACAATCAATTTGAAATAGATAGCTAGGTACCTGTTTATTATTTCAAATATATACCTATACACATATTAATTCGTCTCCCCATGACGACCTAGAATTAAAACGTCAGTCAAAGCGGAAAAATCCCATTCCGAAAAATTAGCCAGTGAAATTCCAACAAATAATTAATCTGGAATAATCATACAAAACGATGCGAGCGGGATGCTCGGCCATTATTACCATTCATTTCAAATCAGCCGTGCGGAGGGTCGGGGAGGGTGAGGGCCTTGCTCGACCTGAATAAGCATACATTTTCCAATCAGGCCACGTATCATTTAACTCGCTATTAAATTCGACTTCTTCCCTCGGAATTATTATCATGTCAAAAAGGAATCCGAGTGAGTAAATACACGTTATTAATTTAAACAAAAATACGAATTATACTTAATGCGTAGATCCTTCGGACTTTTCGGTTTCGAGTGTATTGTGTGGTAAGCATTCAAATTTTTTTTAAAGAAAATGAAGTGAAATACTTTTCATAAACACCGTCATAAAATTCATGTTTAATACCTTTCACGCTAATTACCTGCGCTTCTGTTTGAGTTTTCGCTTCGGTTGCTGGGTGAATTAGAAAATTGACTTTTTTAAAGAAATCTCCTTTTCTTATATTTCAGTGTTTTATACTTTATGTAAGCAATGTAATGCAGTAATGAAAGAGGGTTTTAAAGCGTTCAAATTAATATGTAGAACTGGCACACGAAATGAATAGAAAATAGTAGGTATGTCTAGTAAAAGTATCAAGTGGATTATGTACAAAGCGATATTTAGTCGTGTTTAATAACTACTCGTAGCGTGTGACAGCACGAGCCAGTCACCTGACACCGTGAGTCGCGTTACTCGACCTCCCCCGCTTATTAAATTAATAACTTTGAGCACCGTCATTATCCGGCTAATTGGAGGGGTGATGGGCTCCTTTTAACACATTACCTAAGTGTTTAACGTCACTTT